TTTCCATGAAGACCCAGTAGCTCCAGGCTTGAGAGCAGGCTCTAAGAAGAAAGCCCCAGGCTTTGGAAAGCATTAAAAAGGGGTCCTGGGCTGGAGCAGGGAGTTGTCAGAGGGTCCCTGGGTACCTCTACAGTCCAAGCAGAGCAGAGAGAGCCCTAGGAGTGTAGATAATCCCAGGAGACCAGCCTGGCCCTAACTAGGTGTCAAAAATGTTTGTCTCCTTGAAGCCGTATGAGTTTCAAGGGATCGTGCCAGAATGCATGGGGAAGTTGGATGATGCAAAAAATAGGAGTGTATGAGTGCTGAAGAGGGACTCTGCATCCCAGGACGTCTTTGTGCGAGGGCTGTACACGTACCACTGGCATTGCAGAGGTCCTGTCGGAGGAGGCAGCAGTAGTCCTGCTTCACTGATGGGAGACCGTTGCTCTGAAGACAGCCATGTGTCCAGGTCGTACGCTACGACGTTCACTGCTCTCCCAAAGCCGACACCAATGCTGTGACTGTGATTGGATGGGGATTGTCACAGCTGTGTTCCTGCAGCCTGCCGAGCTGCAGAAACAGTGCTTTGCAGCCTGTCTTGCATCTATAACCCCTTTCTCCTATTGCAGTGGTCTAAACTTTTGTTTTGCCTCATGCTGGCTGTGGTGGGGTTAGGCTAGCTTTTAAACTCATGCTAATACGATTGCTTGAGATCAGCTGAAAACCCCCCAGGCCTTTGGCTGGGCCAGTGGAGCAGGGTGAATTCTGGCTGCACTGCGCAGGTGTCGAAGCTGAAACTGCAGCTTCGGCCCTGGGTATGAGCAGGACTCTTGAGCTGCTCCTCTGGAGGCCATAAGGGGAGGTGATGCTCCCTCTCTAGCTCTGGCTGGGCTGGAGCTCTACTGCTGGTGGAAAACTGGTTTATTTTGCACCTGCCCACTGTTGAGCTGGCTCCCTCCACCCCCTCCTGCTGCCTGATTTGTAATAGTCACATATATGTGTGTGCGTGTATATATAACCTCAAAATATTGATTTTTGGGGCCATTGCGTCTCAGCTGATATAGAAGATAATTCACTGCTTTATTACCGCACTTGGATTTTAGATTTATCACATTAAACAGACAGCAAACTGGTAGCTAATTAAGCATGTTTCGCCCAGCAGCACAGGGAAGGGTCAGAGCCTGCCCCAGCACTGCTCCTCGCAGAGGAGGGCCCTCAGGACCATCTCTGCCCCCCGGCAGGGCCGACTGCTGGGAGACGCCTGGCAAGCACCTCCCGCCGAGCTCATCCAGCGTTCTCACCCACGGGGTGATGAATCCTGCAGACGACAGTGCCGGCAGGAGCTGAGGTCACTAAAGATAGCTCTGCCTATCTGAGCAGTGTCTCCATCATGTCTAAAGTGCGCTGGACATCCAGTTCGCCCTCCTTGCCCGGAGCAGGGGAAAGGCAGTTTTGTGTCCCCTTCAGGGATACTGAAGCTCCCAGGGGGTGACCAAGGTCATGTAGGACATGAGTGACGCAGCAGTGATTTGAACCAGCCTCTTGCCTGTCCCCTCAGCACGGCGGGGACCTTATGCACCCCCTGCTTCCTTCACTCCTGCACTGCTCCTCCGGCTAGCATTTTGCTGCAGGCAAGCCACTGGTGCAAACATAATTATTGCCTTTCACTAGGGATTTGATAGGTTTTTGTGAGGCAAAATCCTTGACGGGATTCAGCGGATGGTCCTGGAGTTGTTCTTTCTCTCATACACCTGCGGGCTCAGAGGAGACCATTGCATTTACTGCCTTGCTTAAAATGCAGCTGCTCCCTGCCATCCCCTGCACCCTCCCAGGCTGGGCTACTGCCATGGGAAATGCGTTTCCTCCCCCTGGACGATCCTTTTCCCAGCATGGCCTCGCATACCTGGGATGAGGCTAAACATTTTGCCTGCTGGGATCTGCAGCAAGGAAAGCAGCAGGCTCTCATGGTTTCCTGCCATCCCTGGCCATGGAGGTGTCCCTGTGAGTCAGGGTTCCCCAGCTAATTGCTGTGTTTATGGGGTTTTGCACATTGCTAATGGGGCTGTTATAACATTATTAATGCCTTGATGCTCTCATGCCGGCTAATGGACAGTTGCCATTTAATATGCTGTCTGGAGCCAAAATAAAAGCTTGTTAAATGGAGTTTGCCAAGACAGGATTGATGCCTAGTTTTTAGCTGGCCAGTGCTGCAGAAGGCACCAGGTGGAAGGCAGTGCAGGCTGCAGGCTGCCCTCAGCCTGCCGGAGCAAGTGGCCAGGCCCGCGCGAGGCCCACAGAGGAGGCAGCGGTGTCACTGCTGGCTCCTCGACCCGGCTGCGCAGGAGTGAAGCATCTGAGGACACCGTCTCCTCCCTGGGCCCTCCTGCCCTCATGTGCGGTGCCCTTCATCTGCTCGTGCAGATACCCCCGCTTCACTTCTATCCCAACGAAATTCGCCCCACCTAGTGATTCTCCTTGCCCTTTGCTCTGCACCTCCCGCAATGGGATGCTCCGTTTGGCCTCCCCGCTGCTCGGGAAGGCACAGCCTGGCTCCTGGCACATGGGAAGCAGCAATTTGGCTGCTCCGTTAACCACTTGATGTTGCGCATTTATGCCCATTAGGAAGGTTTCCAGCCCCGCCGCACCATGCTGGGCTCAGAGCAAAAGGCCTTGCCTCCCATCGCCTGCTGGAGGGGTGCTCTGGAGCAGCGAGTGAGGGAAAAAGCAGGTTTTAAAGTATATATCTGTATGTCCGTATACCGTAACCAATTATTACCTAGCTCAGACCTGGTGTGGCAATGACTTTTGCTCTCCCCCTGCCCATCAAAAATGTGGATGCACGCAGAAATCTTTTTGTATTCAGGAACTTCCTGGAATAATGTACTTTTCCTTCTCACTTCTCCGTGGCAAAAAAAGTGCTGTTTCATGGCAGGGGTGGGGGGGGGGGAAGTGCTGCTTCATGGAAAATTTCCAGCTGTCTTTCGTCTGTGAGCCTGCCTGTGTCTGATGCTGTTGCAGCGTTTGCCACCTGGAGCTTTGCTGCCTTAAGTCACCCCTGATTTACATCAGGGACCTGGAAGCAGAGTCTGTGCCTGGGATCCCTGTGGAAATCGGAGTTATGGTATCACAGCAGTCATAATACGGCATTTACGTTGATCGGCCTTATGGGAAAATGTCAGGATTTTGCACAAGCAAAGCAGCCTGCAATTAGTTTATAAAAGAGGAGGTGTTTGACGTATTACTGTGGCGGAGCTGTAGTAATTCTGCAGCGCTAGCAGAGTGCCTGTTTGAGCCATGCTGGGCAGCTGGGGTAGGAGGAATGTTTTTTGGCTGGGAAGCAAGCAGGTGTCAAAAGGGTGAGGAGAGCACCTAGCTGCAGCAGGGGCAAAGGCCACCTTTCCTGGGACATTATCCAGAGGTATGTTATGGTGCCAGGTATGCAGCAAGATGGCCAGCTGGGCTAGCATGGCACGAGGGGTCTTCCTGGCACCATAGCCTGTACAAACTAGAGCCTGGTCCTGTCCTGGAGCCCGGCCAAATGCTGCTCAGACCAAGGGCAGGGGAATCCTTTCAGCTTTCCTTGATTTAGCGCCCACCTTGCAGAGCAAGCCAGAAGACAAGCTCTTTATGGGGCGTGGAGGTGGCAGAGCCCATTCCTCTGGCAGGGCCCAGGAGACGCTAAGAAGCTGCGGCGAGCAGTCCCGCAGTGTGCGAGGCGGCTTGGTGGCACTTCTGTGGCTCCTGTTCTCCAGCAGGCTGGTGAAGGAGATGTGCTCTGTGCCCTGGACTGCATCTAGGGCAAATCTCTCTTTTCTTTCCAGCAAAAGGGCTTATTTTTGCTGCAAATGCACTGGGTCAAGAGCTCCTCATGGTGGGATCCAGGAGCTGAGAGTGAGCAGTCCTCAGGGCCTTCCGCAACGGAGATAAAGCAGGTCACTTGGGAAGAAAGCCACAAGTCGGTGCTGCACAGAGATGGACTCGAGACCAGAGGACTGGCCTACCCCAGACACCGCTTCTGCTTTTCCCCACTTTCCAAGCAGAGCTTGCCCTGATCTTCTTGCCACAAAGAGCAAATCAACCCCCCTGCTCCCAGCGTGCTGTACAAGGTGGTGTTTCAGGTTTGATGGTACTCCCCTACTATCCCTGCTCCAAAACTGGCCACCCGGGGCCATCCTCTCCCCGCAAGAAGGGGCCTTTTTTCCCCTCCCAAAGAGACCATCCTCCCCCCCCAAATCAGCCATCCTCCCCCAGAAATGACCGTCCTCCCCCAGCAGCCCACACGCCCGCCAAGGC